TTCCTTTCTATTTTTTTAGTAGAGACGGGTTCTCGCTCTTGCTCAGGCTAGTCTCGAACTCCTGAGCTCAAACAATCCACCCGCCTCGGCCTCCAAGAGTGCTAGGATTACAGGCGTGAGCCACCGCCCCTGGCCCAGAACCTACTTTGAATTGTACTTTTCTTCCTTCACTGTGGGTGTGCTACAAGGCATGCATACTAAGGAGGGAGGTAGCTTCCACCTCCAGTTCACTTTTCTTCTTGCATTGTTACTTATACCTTAAGAAATATAGGTTTAAAACTAGAAAATGTTCAGATCATCATAGTTGACTTGCAACTTGTACTTAGAGAACCTAAAAAGAGGTTTTTACAATCACAGGAAATCCCTAGCATTTTTCTCAAGCAGCTGAGATTGTAGCTAAATCAGTGTTCCTCTGTGCTAGCTTATTTAAATTCAAGAACTTTTGCAACATGGTTTATTATAATGTTGATTTTTGTTGTGTGTGGCTAAACTTGTAAAATGTAGCAACATTGGGTGCAGCCTATTAACTCAGTGTGTGAGAGCAGAAGCCATCATCATAGTAATTTGGTCATCAGTGGTGTTCCTTACCAGCATGGACAATTTTAAGAGTTTTTCTTTCTAAAATGTGTGTACAAAGTTTTGTGACTCTTCATTTTAACTCTGGTTTCAATAATTAGATTTCTTCCATGTAACTGACCATATGTTCATATTTTTTTCTCAACTTTCCAGGCGTACAAATCCATTTGGAGAATCTGGAGGAAATACAAAATCTGAAACTGAAGGTAAAACAGATGTGCAGTATTTTAGAACTACTTCTCAGTAGTAAACTCTGTGAAGAATTTGTCATTTACATTTGCTTTGTACTATGCTCAGTTTTAATGTTAACTTCAAAGTTTTCTCTATTTACTCATAGTACACTTGAAACAACAGAACTTAATCTGACTTAAGATGTTGTTACTCATACAGAATTGTGGAGAATTATAGAATATCATACTTTTGACTTCATAGTCAAATTCTCAATGCCTAAGATATCCTTTAAGCTTTTCCTAACAGCTGATGTTTAAATTCTAGTACTGGAGCATAACTATTTTTTTTCTTTTTCCTAGTATCTATTTAATATAATTTCAAACTGACAGAAAAGCACTCATAGTGCAAGGAATTCTTTTTACCCAGAACCACCAATTGTTGAAGCACTACCCTTTGCTATTTGAATTTGAGACCTTAATTTTCCTATAATTTGAACACTGTAGTTAGGAGTTATTTCTAAATACCTCCCCTTTAGGTTGAATTTTTCTCTGGGAAATCTAAAAGGAGGCAGTATATTTTATTCTTTTGGAAAATAAATGTGGGATTTAAAAATGCCTAACATACCTTGTCTGTTATAGATTCTATTCTTCATCAGTTATTTATTGTCCGGTTCCTTGGTTCTATGGAGGTGAAATCAAATGACCATCCAGATGTTGTTTATGAAACGATGCGCCAAATCTTAGCTGCCCGGGCCATCCATAACATCTTTCGTATGACAGAATCACATTTATTAGTCACTTGTGACTGTTTAAAGTAAGTAATAACCCCTCCCCCAAAAAACTGCAGAAAAACAGTTACATAATTTCAGCCTAATTAAAATTTGTTTTCCAAATTGTTAATTATTATTATAGGTTAATTGATCCACAGACACAAGTTACAAGACTCACGGTGAGTCCTACAGATTTAAGCTTTGTGCATATACACATCTTACAGCTTGATAATAATCTTGATCCTGTATATTCAGGTATGGTAGTATCAATTATGATTGGTCTTTAGACTGTTACAGTTAAATCTGTGGCCATCTCCAAAAAGGTATAATTGAACATTCCATGTAACTTAAAAGAACACAATTTTGTGCGATATTTAGTGTTTACCCCTCAGTTAGGAAGCATGTATCATACACACCAAAGAACAGTAGGAATTAAAAGGTGAACATAATTGAGAGTATTTTATAATTATCTATTTCAAATAGCTGCAAGTGTGTGCGTTTCTGTTTAGTTTATTTATTAAAAAGACCATTTTTGTTATTGAATTTGACTTTGAAAATGCGTTGACTAACTATAAAACAAATTCAGTATTTAACACCCTCTTGTTCTGCTCAGTAATCCAAAACAAATATGACATTGTTTGTTCTTGGATTACCAGTCTGTTAAAAAAAATTGGCTTTAATATTTATGATAATTTTAGAATTTAGCATGTGAGTTTGTCACAATATAAGTGCTGTCGTAATGGTTTGAAAGATCTCACGTTTGCTTCTGATGTTTTCTGCGGCAGTTTCCATTACCCTATGTAGTTTTGTATGCTACACACCAGGAGAATAAGCGCCTTTTTGGATTTGTTCTTCGGACATCAGGAGGGAGAAGTGAAAGTAATCTGTCATCAGTCTGCTATATATTTGAGTCAAACAATGAAGGGGAAAAGGTACATGGCTTTTCAAAATGTTTCCGTTGTGAAATAATTAATCATAATCACTCAGTGATTCTTACCAAGATTTAATAACAATTAAATTCTTGCTAATTAAATAAAATCACTATTAATTAAAAATTACATGATTAAATTCTTATGTAATTCTGACTGAGATTTCTGCAAAAAATGCCCAGATTTTGCCTAGTTGTGCTGAGCTGACCAAAGCATGTTGCTCTGAAGAGAGCCAGGCTGCTGGGTTGGGCCTTCTGACTCTACAGACCCGTGCCTCCCTGGCCACTGATAGCTGGTGCGATCTTTTAGGTTCATTAACTTATCCTGGAAATGGAATATATTCCCATAATCAGCTATTTTCAGATGTTTTCAGCTTGGAGCAGCTGATAACTTCACTGTTTGCAGGCCTTACTATATCAGTAAAGAATTTGAGATAACAAGAAGTAGGGTACACAAAGGGGGTGAGATTCAGCCATGAAAGCTCACAAACTCTGAAGAAAACATACAAAGACTTGGTTCGGGAGCTGGAGCATTCTTAAATCAGCTTTTTTTTGTTTGTTTGTTTGTTTTTTTTTTTTTTGAGACAGAGTCTCACTCTTTTGCCCGGGCTAGAGTGAGTGCCGTGGCGTCAGCCTAGCTCACAGCAACCTCAAAC